ATTTTCAGCAATGGGTATGCTGAGTTCCACTCTATAGTTTTTCCAAATAAATTCTTTAAAAGATTCATGAATGATATGTAGGATTACAGAAAAAGCTCCAACTTTTGTAAGTTGCTGGCAACCAGAAAGCAAATAAGTCAAATTAATTTTAAACTGGCAACTTCAAATATTTACAAAGTCCGTCTAATTCCCATCGTGTCTGAAAGTGGTGTTCTGAAGGACTTACTGAGTCATGATTGCATAATAGATCCAAGCGTTAGGTTACTGGTAACTGGAAAGGACTCAACTCGAATTAATTCTAAACCCATAATCTTATGAGTTTACAAACAAAGGTTGCACTTTAATTCTGGCGTGTTTAGACATTTTCTTCCAAAGGCCTTGTCCTTTCAAGAATAGCAGCACCTTTCACCTTCCCCACACCAGCTGATTTTCTATCATCAGATCTTAGAATAATTTCATTCTTTCTAAAACCAAAAGCAGTTCTAGTTCCAAACTGCAATTCATTAGGGGAGGTTCCATGGTGTTTGTCAGGCTTTGTGCCACTTGCTTTCACCCAAATGGGTTTCATATGCTTCCATGGGGCAATGGTCTGCATTCACTTAAGATGTCTACCACATGGTTGGGAATTTTTATTTGAGATTTGAAAAGGGAGCAATGAGAGGTTCAGACAAGGCCCTCTCTGCTTGTACTTGTGTCTGTGGGTAGCCTGGATGGGAAGCACAAGAGCTGGTTCTGGTTGTTAGTAAAATTCATTTTGATTGTATAAGATCTATACCATGACTTTGAATAACGAATGATATTAGTGTGTGCTTCCTCTGTGCCAGGAACCATCTTTACACTTGACCTACATGAAAACATTTATTCCCAATAATTATCTTGTAAGGAGGCCTTTTATTTCCCTGTTTAGAGGTGAGAAGATTACATTTCAGACAGGTTAAGAAACTGACTCAAAGCTACCCAGTTTACTATCTTTCTATTCACCCATCAAACCATCTTATATTTTTATGCAGTTTGAAGTACGTTGGTGATATCAATGCACCTCCAGTGAAAAAAATAAGCAAAGTGACACAACTTGACCTGTCTTCTCTGAGGAAAATGGATCCAGGGGTAGGAGGCGGGCAGTGAAGAACGGCACAGAGACCTCTGAGTAGGCTACTTCATTTGTTCTATGAAGAGAGTCTCATGGCTTGTACTAAGGTTAGTGGTAAAGATAAAATATTGTTGAAAGGTTTTGAATATGTTTTGAAGGGATAGTCAGCAGGACTTCCTAGGGGATTGGAAGAGAGGAGTCAAAGGTGGTTCATAAGCATTTGGATTATGCCACTGGGCCATGGTGGTGGGGACAGTGAGGCTGTTTACCAAGATGAGAAAAGAGGGCGTAGCAGGACTGGAGGATAAAATACAGAGATCTATCTGGGGCATATCAAGATTGAGATGCCTTTAATACATCCAAGTGGGATGTAAAATTAAAATAGAACAGTCTATAGGTTAAGCTATACAAATACCTTTCTTTGTCAAGTTTACAGCCAGTACAAAATGACTCAATCACAGAGAGCCTATCGTAAGTAGTAATGTCTGAGAACTACCAACATTAGAGATACGGTATAATTTAGGATAGAATGGTATAAAGTTGTGGACAAAAGAAAAGAGTTAAAATTACCATTAATAGTATTAAAACAGAAGAAAGTAGCGGAGATCAATGCAGCATAAGATGGTAGCTTTGCTGCTACAAAATTGGTTCAAATAGTTGATAGCTTATTATATAGTAATATTATTTCTAAGTAGCTTACTAGTAGTATTATTACCAGAATGAGTATGCAGTATTAACATAATAGTAAAAATAATTAAAATAGTAGTAACTAATAATTATTGAAATCACCATATCTTGTGCAATTAGAAGTATTTCTCATTTAGATACGTCTCATTTAAACCTCAGGACAATACTGTGAGTTGGGTTCTGTGATTAGCTCCATCATGTAGTTGAGAAACTTGAGACTTACAACTACCAGGTACTTAGAGCAAAATTACATAAGGATTAAGTTGTGAAGCTGTGACTCAAACTTATGTTTGACTGTCTGACTTCAAAGATCGCGCCTTATGTAATAGTCATGTATTCCTCTTGGTAGCGTCAGAGTAGTATGCTAAATGCGACATACTGTAGTTACAGCAACACTAAAACTAAAAATAATACTAATGAAACCTAAAATGATATACGATACTCATATAAAACTACAAATTACAAATATTAGGACTCTCATGATATGTGTGGTCTTTTCAGAATTCTGTTTTACTACTGTGCTAAACGAAAATGCATTATGGTATATCAATTCTGTGAATACTTAAAATTTAAGTGTCAGACTGGTTGTGTACTTCTGCTAAAATTATAGATATCACACACTAGTTATTGTAGTGGCAGAACTGCTTCCAAGTTGGAAGCTAGTGTGACATGGCTTAGCAATAATATCCTAACAAAGCTAAAATTATAGGACTCTCATGTGGAGTAGCGCAGCAAAGGGATTACTTTCAATATCAGAGCTGGCATAGAACCCAAGCGATTCCTAAGTGTGCTGGGCAAATTGCAAGCTTTTAGTGATGTGAAATGACGAAGTCACAGACCATGGTCCTGCCTTTGAGGAGCAGTGACGCTTCTTTAACTATTTTACTGAAAACTTGCAGTCGCAATGGTGGTTTTCTAGGCATAGGATATAGTACTGTATAGACCACTGGGCTCCCTATTAGCACTTTTGCTGTTTCGACTAAAACTGCAGGCTGCACTAGCACAGCAGGTGTATTGTTCTCATAACTAGAAGCAAGGTAGGACTACAGACAAGGGAGGGCAGCGTTATTGTTAGAAAAAGTACAATATGTAGAGCGTAATTGTGTTATTGCGACTGAAATCATAGTAGAGTGGTCATTGGTGCACCATACTGTGGAATAATAATATTGCCAAATTTTCTGTTAAGACAGTACATGGGATAATACAGTAGCAATGCTGGTGCCAGCATTACTGACAGTGTAATTGACAAGTAACGTTGACAAGGTGGCAAAGTAAATAGGGCTTTGTCCATCACTGCCTGTGCGACTTGGTCAAGTCCTGTAATCTCTGAACCTCACACCTGTCGTCTCCAACATGCCCCTTCTCACGGCTTGTGTGCACTCTTACTGTGAGGATTATGTGACATAATTTTTGTGAAGTGCTTTTCACAGTCAGCACTCAATAAATGCTCCCCTCTCTACCCCAAGTTTATTGCTATAGCTTGGAGAGTATGTGGTAGCATAATGCAATAGCACATTCAAGGACAATACAGAGTTACTGATAAATATAAGAAGAGTAGGACTATAATTTAGGACTCTTCTTGATGCTACAGTTAGTAGTGCATATCATGTTGCTGTGACAGTAACTTACTGCAAAGGTGCCACTCAAATATTTCTCTCTAATCACTGGTTTACTGTTAGCCATTAAGAGCCAGGGTAATTACAATATGGTGTCATTTGGTATAGGATTTTTGTTAACAAGATTCTTGGTAGCCTAACATCATGGGATATAGCAGTATGACACACAATATTATAGTTTAGGGCCACACAGTACAGCATAGGCTGAGGGAAGTAACTGCTTTAAGGCAGCCAATGCTGGCAGCAGCAATGTGATTTTATGTTTCACTTTATTACATGTAATTGTGGGAACAGAAATGATAATATACTGTGCTGAACTACATTATGTCAGCCTACACCCTCACCTTACAATTCGAGTAGCAGTAATGCTAGCACTCTGTAGTGAGTTATGCTTTTTATTTATGTTTGTAGTTACATACATATAAAGGCGTTAGATTATACTAGGGTACTTACAGTGTCTCAAACAGTACTAGTTTGTGTGATGTTAAAGTAAAAATCGTGTGGTCATATTTGTACTGTAGAAGCTCCCATACTGATAGTGCTGACACAATTCTAGCATGCGTGCCTGTAAGTTGCAAGGATATTCCTAATTTATCACGTAATGAGAGCCTTAAAAATTGTCAGCTGCAATCTTCTAAATCAAGGGGTTGACCAGTATGGCCCACGTGTCAAATCTGGCCCACTGCCTACAGTTTTCAGGCTAAGAGTGGGGTTTACATTTTTAAATACCATTCAAATAAAGTGAATAAAGCTCTAAATAATATTTTGCAACATGTGAAAATATATGAAATTCAAATTTCAGTGTGCTTAAAGAAAGTTTTAATGGAACACAGGGGTTCTTGTGCTACGGTGGCAGAATTCAATAGTTGCAACAGAGATAGACGACATGGCCCACAATGTCTGAAATATTCACTCTGGCCCTTTATAGAAAAAGCTTGCTGACTCCTGGTTTAAACCATCCTGCATTACCTATAATGTGCATGTGAGTATGAAGGACTGTATTTTGAATATACTACAGATATAGCCACAGTGTCATATTATTCTGTTTATAACCATATTTTACAAAAATATCACTATAATCTACTATTGTATATTGCCTTCAGTGTGCCCAAATGCTGCTGAATTAGAGTACCCTAAACTAGAAAGTATTGCCATCCTGACTTCCTACCTATCCAAGGGGACTGGGGTCTGCTGCCATGTGGGACTATAGTACATTGTACTGATACATATGCATATGGTATATAGTATTGTAATGGTTAAGGGGGAAAGGTGTGGCATAAGGCCCTGCCTCTTACTGGCTCTAGCAATTTGGGTAACTTTCTTATTGAGCCTCAGTTTCCTCATCAGTGAAATGGGAATAACAGCAGATGTAGGAAATGATGACGGAAAGTTCTCTGCGTAGTAACTTGTAAATAGGTTTTGATAAATGGTATTGTGGGGGTGGTTTATTTATTCCTTCAGCAAACACTTCCTGGGTGTCACTGAAGTTGAGGAGCAATTCTCAGCATCGGGAATCCAGAATTGAACAAGACAGTTGAGCTCCCTCCTACAGGTGTGGGGAGGGGAGACTGAGAGTGAACGGGAAAACGCCAGCGCCCCATGAGTACCTTGCTCTGAAGCAAACAGCAGGCAGTGACCGAGGATTCCCAGGTGTTCAGTGGAAGACTGCTGAGGCCTGGAGGACAAGAAGGACCCCATCATCTGAGTATATGATATACCTGGATTGCTACTGAATTGAATCTGTATTTTAGTATCTTACACTATGTAAAGAATTCCTAGCATTGGTGGAGCAAACGTGCACAATTTAGATGCCACGTGGTGATCCAGGTCTGTGGCATCTATTTGTAAAAACAAAACTTATTGATTGTTAAAGGATTAGAGCAGGGTTTCTCAACTTTAGCTCTATTGAAATGCTTGGCTAAATAATTCTTTGTTGTGTGGTCTGTCCCAGGATTTGGAGATGTTTAACAGCATCCCTGGCCTCTACCCACTAGATGCCAGTAGCACCTCCTCTTGTCTCAAATTGTGACAACCAAAAAATGTTTCCAGATATTGCTGAATGTTCCCGAGTGGGCAAAGTTGCCCAGGATTTGTAATCACTGGATTAGGGGAAATGATGCCTGCAAAGTCCCCAGCAGGAATTACAGCTGCTACAAGCTGGATATATAAGACAAAGTCACATGAGTAGAAATACCCCCAACAGGCTCCCCAGCATATATGTGCCAATTAGGGGCATCTTCACAAAGCTCCCAAATTGCAGACACTGCAAATGGCCCTCAAGGGTCTGCTAAGTTATTACGACCTCTAATATTGACAGTAATAAAACTGTGCTCTTCTGCCGATGATTTTAATATACTAAACTATACAGTCTCTTATAACAAGAGAAGTATTATCCCCTGTAGTGCTGTACTGCTCATAATTTGAATAATAATGCTACATTTCCTTATTTTAAAACCACTTCAGACATTAAATAGTAGTTTTTACCACTGCCATTACGATCTTATTTTAGTGTCCTATGTCACCTTAATCTAATGACTGTATAGTATATGGAGTTGCCCTGTTGTTAATTTTAGGACAGATAAAGGTATCACACCATTATTCTTGTCTATGCTGTGTTTTATTAATCTACCTTCAATAAATATTGCAATTGTTCTATATTTTTATGAATTTTCACATATATGAAAGCTTTCTACATTTTAGGAAGAATATTGCTAGATTGTTACACTATGATTAGCTCTAGGTGCCTTCTGAATCCGTTACCAACTATATTAAATGTCAAAGCTTATAATTTTAATAACTAATTGTGCCATATAATGCTATGTTAAACTGTATCACTTTATAGTTTATCTTAATTATAAGCAGCAAACCAAACATTTTAATAAAATGTTCTGTGATAGGATACCTTTGGATAGGATTGGCATCAATCATTAATACTGCAAATAGAAGTCTTCAAAAATTAGCATGGCAGGATAATAGAGAATATGGTATTACTCCTTGCTCTCTGCAGTAACGCAGATACTCCCACATGGCACTATACCACAGGGGTATGTATACACAGTCACCCCCTATGTAGTAGTAGATACTATGTATCTAGTAGATACTATGTAGTAGTAGATACTACTACTATCTCTTGCTTACTTGCTTAAATGTTTATTGAGGGTCTGCTCTGAGCTGGACACTCTACTCTTCTCTCCTTGGAGATGAGAATATAGCAGTGAGAAAATTAAAAAGCAGCAAACAAAATCCTTGCCTTCTTGGTGTTTATATTCACCTGGGGAGAGACAAACAATAAACAAATCCAATGGTGATAACTGCTATGGTGGAATATCAAGCAGGGAAGAGAGAAGGGTGGAGGGGTGTGGAAGTTACAACTGTAAACAAGGAGGTCAGGGTGGACTGCCAAAGAAGGAAGGACTTGAAGCAGGTAAGGGAGGAAGGCATGCAGATATCTGGGGGAAAGAGTATCTCACAAAGAAGGAATAGCAAGTGAAAAGGCCCTGAGGCAGGTGCTCACTTAGCATGCTTGAGGAGCAGGAAGACCTTGTGGGTTGGAGGAATAGTAATTTAAAGATGTATAACAATGTAGTATTGTTATTCCTATAAATGCTGGAATCATTTTAGGATAAAGTAGTATTACATCAGTTTTTCTAAAATATCAACAGGATAATGTGGCTTTTTAAAAAAGAGTTTAAGTTGATTTTTCCACATGACTTTTAGATGTTTGTCCTCTAAAGAAAGGCATTCTCGTTTCTACCTAGGCATAGAAATTATTCCACTTGGAATGGTTATTTGGTAATCATGATCCAATGGACACTGTTTTCTTTGGTTCAGAAATTTAGAAATGCTTACAGGTCTGGGTAGTTTCATATTCTGTTATATATAAGACCAAATTTCATCTCTTGTTTATGGGGAAAGCCAGAAGTCATATTCTCAAGCAATAAGGTTGAGAGTCATTTGTAGTCATTGTTCTTTTCCTCCTTCAAGTCTTCTCAGAACGAATTCCTAGGATTTATGACTATTTCTGTTCCCAAATAGTTCAACACTTTAATATTATGGAAGCTTGTGTTCTCGTCCAAATTATGATTTCTACTGAAGTTTTGTTCAACAAAAGTCAGAGCTCTGTGTAATAAATTCTTCTGATGTAGATGATATTTTGATTTACTTCTGTAAATATTTTTATAACTGAGAGTGGAGCATCTAAACAGTTGTTAAATACTTGTCTAGAATCTGCTGTAGAGTAAAGTCTCTGCCAACAACCATCCTTTCTTGCTGTCTGGAATGGGTGACTTTTTCATGTACTTTCCATTCTGTATTCTCAGCAGTAAAATGATAATAAAACCCAAACCAGGAGATTATGATTTTAATATACTTTATTTAAAAAGTACACAGTTTTAAATTGGTTTCAATGGGTTTCAAGCAGAAGGGACGCTGCCCACTTGCAGTCCCGTTTCTGATGAAGGATAATAATAATGTAGCAAACTCACATTTGCATGACTGGCAAAGTAAAAAGATAACTTTTTTGTCAACATATCTCTAAGAGTTTATATCACGCACAGCTTAATATCATGAGATGCTGATGGTTGGACTACATTTCATGTCTCCTGTGTTGCACCATATTTTGGCTCACAGTTTATCCATACTTTAGCATGCCAAGAGAACATCTCCATCAGTGTCACCTTGAGAAGAGCATCAAAAGCAGAGGGAGCAGGATAAGGACCATCTTGGCCTGGAGATTCGGCGCACCCCCACACTCCCTCGCATTCTCCTACAGGGAAAGGCAGGGTTGGTTAGAGCCGAGGTGGATCCCAAGATGCCTTAAACTTCCCAGGGTATGTGGAGTCCCCATATCCCTCCCTGCTCTCCAGTGTACGAACAAAATCATTTGGAACCTAGATAATGGCAGGAAATGGACTTGTCTACATTTCATCACGTTAGTAATGAGAATCTCTGATTTCACTTGTCAATGCATAAAGTATTCAAAATGACTCTTTGTATCCTATTATGCAGAACATTCAAGAGGCAAAGGGCTGTTGGTAGAGAAGTCTCTTGTGATTATTTTATAAAAGCAAAATACTGACCTTCTTAGTAAAAGATCACATCTCAGGGGGCTGATCATTTCAGATACTTGGCTATGGAAGGTTTTGTGTGTGCCTTCCTTTTAATTTGGGGGAAGGGAGGCTCTGTTTTACAAAACTCAAATCATATTATTTATTCCTTTCTGCACCATGATTTTTATCTACTAATTGATGGAAATTTCTCTATCTCCATTATTCTAGGTCTATTTTATTCAGTTCTTTTTTTTCTTATTGATGGTCATTCATCTTCTCATCTGTTCTCTACTGCTACAAAGAGCGCTGAATATAGGTCCTTACCAAACAATGATACTTGCTCCTGCCCTGGCCTTAGGTAAAGATGCCCAGGAGTGAGGGTGCAGAGCTAAAGGGTATTTTTGCTTTTGATGGCCATTGTTAGATATTTCATTGGTACCTGTATTTTCTGATCACCCAGTAAATTGTATCTTTCATGTCCTCGGTTTATTTTTATATGCAGTTGTTTGACTTATCAATTTAAAGAGCTCTTTATGCTTTGATTTATAAATATTTTTTCAAGTTCTATAAATTGGATACTGACTTAGTTATGTTTTTCCATCAAAAAGTTATAATTTTTATATAGTTAAATAAATCTGTTTTTCTTCTATAACTCTTTGGTCTTGGATAAGAAGGTCCCTCCAATCCCTAGAATTTCTTTTTTATTTATTTATTTTTAAAATTTTATTGAAGTATAATTGATTTACAATGTTGTGTAAATTTCTGTTGTACAGCAAAATGATTGAGATACATATATATTATATATAATATATAGTATATATAATATATATAATATATTATATATATAATATATATATATATATTTTTCCATTTTCTTTTCCTTTATGGTTCATCTCAGGATATTGAATATAGTTCCCTGTGCTATACAGTAGGACCTTGTTATTTATCCATTCTAGACATAATACTTTGCATCTGTTAATCCGAAACTCCCAATCCTTCCCCCACACCCTTAGCAACCACAAGTCTGTTCTCTATATCTGTGAGTCTGTTTCCATTTCATAGATATGTTCATTTGTGTCGTATTTTAGATTCCTTATACTTGATAGATTCCACATATAAATGATATCATATGGTATTTGTCTTTCTGTTTCTGATTTACTTTGCTTAGTATGATAATCTCTGGGTTCATCCATGTTGCTGCAAATGGCATTATTTCATTTTTTATGGCTGAGTAATATTCCATTATATATATACACCACATCGCCTTTATCCATTCATCTGCTGATGGACATTTAGGTTGTTTCTATGTCTAGGCTATTGTAAATAGTGCTGCTATGAACATAGGGTTGCATGTATCTTTCTAAATTATAGTTTTACCTGGATACATGCCCAGGAGTGAGATTGCTGGATCATATGGCAACTCTATTTTTACTTTTATCAGGAACCTCCATACTGTTTTCCATAGTGGCTGCACCAATTTACATTCCCACCAACAGTGTAGGAGGGTTCCCTTTTCTCCACACCCCCTCCAGCATTTGTTATTCGTAGACTTTTTGATGGTGGCCATTCTGACTGGTGTGAGGTGGTAGCTCATTGTAGCTTTGATTTGCATTTCTCTAATAATTAGTGATGATGAGCATCTTTTCATGTGCCTATTGGCCCGTCTGTATTTCTTCTTTGGAGAAATGTCTGTTTAGGTTTTCTGCTCATTTTTCAATTGGGCTGTTTGATTTTTGTTATTGAGTTGTACGAGTTGTTTGTATATTTTGAAAATTAAGCCCTTTCAGTTGCATCATTTGCAAATATCTTCTCCCAACCTGTAGGATGCCCTTTTGTTTTGTTTATGGTTTCCTTTGCTGTATAAAAGCTTATAAGTTTGATTAGGTCCCATTTTTTTCAAACATCTTTATTGGCGTATAATTGCTTTACCATCGTGTTTTAGTTTCTGCTGTATAACAAAGTGAATCAGCTCTATGTATACATGTATCCCCATATCCCCTCCCTCTTGTGTTTCCCTCCCACCCTCCTTATCCCACCCCTCTTGGTGGTCACAAAGCACCGAGCTGATCTCCCCGTGATATGCGGCTGCTTCCCACTAGTTATTTATTTTACATTTGGTAGTGTATATGTGTCCATGCCACTCTCTCACTTCTTCCCAGCTTACCCTCCCCCCTCCCCATGTCCTCAAGTCCATTCTCTATGTCTGTGTCTTTATTCCTCTCCTGCCCCTAGGTTCTTCAGAACCTTTTTTCTTTTTTTTTAGATTCCATATATATGTGTTAGCATATAGTATTTGTTCATCTTGCTTTTATTTCTATTGCCTTGGGAGACTGACCTAAGAAAACACTGGGACAATTTATGTCAGAGAATGTCTTGCCTATGTTCTCTTCTAGGAGTTTTATGGTGTCATGTCGTGTATTTAAGTCTTTAAGGTATTTTGAATTTATTTTTGTGTATGGTGTGAGGGTGTGTTCTAAATTCATTGATTTGCATGTGACTGTCCAGCTTTCCCAACACCATTTGCTGAAGAGACTCTCTTTTCCCCATTGTATATTCTTGCCTCCTTTCTTGAAGATTAATTGACCATAGGTGTGTGGATTTATTTCTCGGCTCTCTATTCTGTTCCACTGATCCATATGTCTTTTTCTGTGCCAGTACCATGCTGTTTTGATTACTGTAGCCTTGTAGTATTGTCTGAAGCCTGAGAGGGTTATGCCTCCTGCTTTGTTCTTTTTTCTCAGAATGGCTTTGGCGATTCTGGGTCTTTTATGTTTCCATATAAGTTTTAGGATTATTTGTTCTAGTTCTGTGAAAAATGTCATGGGTAATTTGATAGGGATCACATGAAATCTGTAGATTGCTTTGGGTAGTACGGCCATTTTAACAACTTTAATTCTTCCAATCCAAGAGCATGAATCCAATCCCTAGAATTTCTTATGAGACCATCATTTACCATGCAAGTCCATTCTATACTCTCTCCTTTGAATTGAACCTTTGTCATACATAAGAATTACTATTCTGTTCCACTGACCTCATCTCAGTGGGTCTAGAAACTTAAAGAAAAAAAATACTGATTTTTTTTTTAGTGTTTATCATGTATCTACTTACCAAAGCAAATTATCTTATTAACTTGAAAAGATTTTTACTCTAGTGACTTTAGTGCTATGTATGCAGTTCTGGTTTTAATTGAAGTGGTATTATTGCTTTTGGACTATTGTTCACATTTCTATTTTACATAGAGCTTTTATTAGAGGTGATCACTGAATTTTATCAAAGCCCTTTTCAACTTACGTTGTTATTGAACTCTCCCTCGAATATAGAAGGAAACATTCTCAATAAATTCCAAATTCTTTTTAGTACTATACTGACTTTAAAGTATTTTCTAGGACTTGGATAGTTTAAATAACATTAAAATTATTTGCTATTTACAGGTGAGATTAACACTCAGCTGGCTCTGGTGGCATTTTAAAAAATGAATATCTTCCCAGTCTCCCTAGAGTAATTGGTCTAGGCAAGTTTTCTATTTTTCAAGGTGGGGGATGGACTTAATTTTTAAACTGTAACTTTTCTTGCCATATTTAATTGTTTTTGCCTACAACATTGAAGGACATAATTCACCTACATCGGTGATAAGTTTACCTTTCTTAGTACTAGGTTTAATTTTTCTCTGATCATCACTTTTGGTGTAAATGTAGTGCCTTTAGAGTTGTGACTTCGTGTGGTTAGGGGAGTTTAAAGGCTTATCATTCCACATTTATATATTGTGACTCTTGATCTGACATTAGTATTGCCACTTTTGCTTTACGTGAATTTCTTATAAAAAAAAGGCTGTCTAAAAGTAAGCAGGAAAAAAAATATATATATATATATATTTTTTTTTTAGTAAGCAGGAAAATAATTTTAACTACAATTTGAAAGAAGTAAAACAAGATGGTAAGAGCCACTTTATGTGTAATAGTGGAAAGTGGTAAAATTATAGCACATTTGTAGTAGCGAAGATAGTAAAGAGGCTTTTAAAAAATATACATGGATATAATAAGATAAGACTATTAAGCACAGACTAAATAAGAAGGCATTGAGAGGCTGAAAGTAGAGTACCATTAGCCTTCCTGTATATTCTTTGGTTTGCCTGAAAGGGACTGCTTTCTCAAGAGTAAACTTTTGAGCTATAGTTCTTTGACTACTGTGAGATTCTCATGGCGAATCTGATGGGAAAAGAGTAGGAAGGGTTCTCAGATTACCTCAGGATGGAAGCCATGACAAGATTCCGGACGCCTTCTGATCTTCTGAGCCTTTAAACGTTCACACTTAAGGGATTCGTTATGTTGACTGTTGTTAAGGCATATTTCCAAGATGCTCCTTTTCCTCACTCTGAATTTCAGAGCTCAAAACTTGGCACTAAACTCCCTTAACAACTTCTCTCTCTCTAATAGTGGAAAGGATATCATCTCCTCCTCTCTAAGATTTCTCCCCTAGGTTTCCTTACTGTTGATCCCCCTTACCAGCTTCATCAGTAGTGGCTGGACCTACACACAAAAGGATATACCTGATTTCAATGGGTGCCATGGTGATGGGGGCCACAGACTCACAGAGGCAGCTACTGTCCACCACCACCATGAACAGATTGCTGCTTGGGATTTGCTGGATGACAAAGGACCTGTTGGAACAAGAGGCAGAGAGACAGTGAGTGGTCACTTACCATCCCTCAACTTAATAGCCATGAGGAAAACTTTCCCTGGGGTGGGGGAACTACTGTAATATTTTGGAAAACAAGTTTCAGAGACTGCTTTACTAGTCAAGTTGCCTCCTTCCCCAAGGCTCTTCACTTTCAAATACGAAGTTTCACTAAGAAGACAGTACATCTATGTCCATATATAGCTCATAAAACTCACCTTGGAAAGACAGGACTTTTACGTGTACGAAACAGGAGAGTCAGAGTTGGCTAAATCACCTCAGTTTCCAAGGTCTAAGAGGTTAAGCTTTTCCAAGACTCATTTTCTTCTCCCAGGGCCTAAACATCACCCCAAGTTGCATCTGATGTTCTTTGAGGTATATTTTTCCTTCTCCCTCCAACAAGGATAGACTGAAGCTATGTCATATTAATGATAAAATATGAAGTGAACTTCCTAGACCTTACCCTGAACCACTTTGCACAATGTCTGCCCATAATAGAGGTATTTTTTGGATGAAATTAATGCTAGTTGTTTAAGGAGATCCATCCTTCTCAGAGACCAAGTTAAGCTGTACTAAGGCCATATGGCCCTTCTGACATTCTGGGTTTATCTGTACAGCTAGTCCAACATAAGTAAGCCTAACGACACCTCTTTCTCACCTTACCCAATACAATGAAATGACAAAGTAATATCACCATAAAAGTACTCCTTGAACCAGAAATACCAGTGACTCTTTGGAGGAACAAATTAGAGAACAAATCCCATATTCTTCTAGAGCCGACAGATTAGCTTAATATTTAGCCCCAGCCCCAGAATCCCTGTCACATAAATTTTTCATGATATTTTACCAAATTCAGTTTAGTCAGATGAACTAGACTATAACATTAAAAAACGGTCAATTTCTCTGTAAGTTATCTTCATCTTTCTCTCAAAAAATTTGTTCTGTTCTCTAGAGTGTATCTAGTATAAAAAGATATGACATGAATTTTCATGATCTTAGTATACAAACTGATAGAAATACCAAAATGGTATGATGAATGCATGACTTGCTTAAAATATAGAGCAAAAACTCTTCAGACCTAAGCAATAACAGAATATAAGTTATTTTCAAACGCAGGGAAATGCAACACATTCCAAAGAGCAGAAAGCATCAATTACATGTTCTTCTTTTACATTCGGCTAAAATTAGAAATTAATAGCAAAAAGATATAAGCAGTGGAAATTAAAGGTTAAAAACACATCCAATTAATCCTTGAGAATTTGAGAGCAGCCCAGACTCAAATCTGTGCAGATTTGAGTCTGGGCTGCTTAAATATTTTTACTGGGAAAAAATGTTGCAAATAAATGAACTGTGTTTTTGAATCAAGAAACTGGAAAAATAAGAACATAAACCTGCACCTGTGCCCTATACTCATTCTCCCCTGTGGTACACTGTGCTGAGAATTGATGCCCCTCTCTGAAGCCCAGCCCTCAGGCTTCTGCAAGGATGTGACTGATGGAAGAGGAGAGAGGTGATCATTGTACAAATAGTTTCTCTTGTCTACTAGCCATTTTCTTCAGCTTACACAAAACTCTCCCTTAACTTTACCTTCACCTACCACCGTCCTCATTTATAGTACAACTTCCCCGTCCTCATTTATAGTACAACTCCTAAAAAGAATTATACACAATCCCTCTCTCTCTCCTCTCTCTCTTCCTCTCTCTCTACTTCCTCACTTCTCTCCTTTCACAAATCTACTCCAATAAGGCTGTAGTCCTTACCACACCCTTGGATTGGTTCTTGTCAAGGACACCAATGACCGCACTGCCTTTCTTCTCAATCTCCTTTGCCTCCACTTCCTCCTTCCCTGCTCACTGTCTGTCCCTCACAACAAACTGTGGTTTCCATGGGAGGAAGGCCACATGCGTCTGCCCCTGGTTATCTTTTATCCGCAGCAGCCAGAGTTATGCCTGGGACAGAGCAGATGCTCAGTAAACATTCACTGAATCAATGACAGAATGAACTTATAAAGATAAAAGCAGAAGAATAAGATGCAGATGAAAACGTGAAGATAACTAAAAGAATCAAACTCTGGCTTAAAAGAACAAGGACATAAGTCCACTTATGGCACTCCTGATCAAGAAAAAGAAGTCACAAAGTTACATTAAAACCGAAAATATACAGGGGCATTTTAAACATTTTAAGTGAGTATTACGTATATCATTACAAACAATTTGAAAACTTAGATCAAACACACTTTGGGGGATAAAGTATAAATTATCAACATTTGGCCAAGCTATAAAAAACACCAGCAAACCAACTGCATGAAAAAAACCTGAAATGCACATTGAGAATCTAACCCCAAGTGAATACTACCAAGTCACCCAAAGAACAGATACCACTGTGTTCATAGAAAATCCGTGTGAACCCACTGACCAACTGTTAGAACCAAGAAACGAACTAAGCAAGCTGCCCAGTTACATAATCAGCATATAAAACCACAGCCTTTCCCTGACACTGGCAATAACCAATGAAAAAATATTTATGAAATAAAGAACCATTGATATTGTCAATAATTACTATGAAATGCCCAAGGATAAACCTAGTAAAAGATGTTTCTTTATGAAGAAAATGATCAAAATTCACTGAATATAAAAGAAAAAAAAAACCCTAAGAAATCCACAGTGGTTGTGGAAGGAAACAGTTATATATTAAAGGTGTCATTTCTCCTTCAATTAACCTTTTAATTCAAAGTAATCTCAATAAAAATCCCAACAGGAATTTTGATGGAATTTGAGGTGATGATTCTAAGATTCATTCATAAGATTAAATATAAAGAACAGTCTGGACAATTGTATAAAATTGAATTTTATAAAAAAAAAAAAAGAGAGAGAGAGAGAGAGAGAAGGGAAGATGCTTGCCCCTAATCAGTATCAAAACCCATGAGATAATTTACAGAAAAGGAAACACAGATAGACAACTGATATGTAAAAGGGGTTCAATCTCACTACAAATTAGGTAAATATAAATTAAAATGAAATTAAAATAATGAAATGCATTTTTCACCAGCAGAATGGCAAAATTTTGTCTATGGTAGTATCAAATGATGGAGAGTCTGAAGAAGTGAATATTATTCTACACTGCTGGTAGGAAAGTGAATTTTACAGCCCCTATGAGAACAATTCGTTATTGTTACAGTGAAAAATCATTTAGATCCTATTTTTCCAGTTGTTTTACTTCTCAGTAAGAGGAACTATTGTTCAAGAACCCAAGAAGACATACATAAAGATGCTCTTGGTAACACTGTTCATTGAGAGGAGGAAAACACAGGACCCACCTGAAAGTTCATCAACAGAGGAATGATTAAATAAGCAACAGTGTGTCTGTTCTATGGTCTACTTGGCACCAGATGAAAGGGTAAAAGGTGTCAATTTACCGTCATGAAAGATTACCCAAAACATAATAAGCGGGAAAATAACGTTGCAAAACTATACATAAAGTATAAATGTTTAAGAATATTTAGAAATACTCATCTAAGAGTATTTGATTCTGCTACAGAGAACAAGAAAAATAAATGGGATGGATAAGACTTATCAGTTATGTTATGAGTAGATAGTATCAGTAAGTGATCCATGACTCATGTTAACATAGAAGGAATAAATGAACAAGTGGAGCACATGTGGGTAGAACACAAAAAAGGACAAAACATATGAAGTGTCTTCCTAGTGATAAAAAGGAATGAAAGGACCAAGTGAAATTAACTATTTATAAGGCACAGATCATGTCATCTCCAGATTGACAGCTGTCACCTATATCCTCCTTAAGTCAACCCACTGGCAACTCCCGTGCTCTGCCTGAGACATGCAGATAAAAGTCATGGCTGCTCAACAGATTAGAGGCAATTTGCAGACTTGACCTTCCATCTCTCCAACAAAGCAAGCATGTATTGCCTCCAGGCACCTTCTGTCTACTGAGCCCCCACCCCTACCCTCAAGTCTGGTCCTCCTACCACATCATCAGTGAGAGAGAGAGCAAGGGAGGAGGGGATGGAGGGGAGGGAACAGGATGGCAGTGGTGGACAAGAGGACAAGACTGGGAATAATTGTCCGGGGAGACTTAAACTTAATCTGTAACATTGGAGTTCTTTACAAGGCGAATGTGTACGTGTATTCTTAAAACATTTATAAAATGGAATGTTATGCTAGGGGCAAAGAGTATTGATTTTCTCATTTCACAAAAGAGAAAACTGGGACTCAGAGAACATACAGACAATAAGACATAATTGTGCCCATATTAGAGATTGGGAAACAAGAGATTAACTGATTTCCTAGAGTAACAGGGGCAGAGCTGCAAGCCTCTGGAGCCCAGGCCTGTTACGGGGCTGCTACCATAGGCAGCCGACTTTCTGTCTTGTACTGGAGTTATTAGTGCTCAAGCTCCTCAAGGGCAGACCCAGTGATCACTTGATATGAATGGTTAATGACAACCAGTGCAAGATATTATTCGTTTTAACACATTTACCCTCCAAGGTGAAGGCTCCCCAAGTGTTCTCATGAAGTCCCACAGCAAACTCCCCCCCTTTTACCCCCAGTCCTAGGAGATGGAAATCTCTGCAGGCAGCTATTACTACAGTGGAGGAAAACACCCCCTACCAAGGATTTGCCAACGGAAAGATTAACTGCTTTTCCATATTTTAAAGACTTACTGTCTGCTTATTAACATGTTTTTTTTGGAGGGGTCTGGCCAATGTTAGCTGTACATTTATGTGCACAATGTGTATTTATGGCCCAGGGTGTAGGGTTGAACTTCATAAAACACACCTCCATCCAGCTGGGCCCAGCAGCCAGACTGACATCGCTGTGTAGAGGGACCGTGGCCTGTGGGGTTGGCCTGGGGGCCAAACAAGGCGGAAGGGAAATGCCTCAACAGAGAATCACAGCAGCCATTTCTAAGCAGGGATAGGTCAAAATGCATGAAATAAATTAGGTCCTCAAGGGAAACAGA